ATTTGTCCCAGAAGGGCACTTTGTTTTTATGTATTATGTATTATAATTATGTATTTATGTATGTATGTTTGCCATTGTTTTACAATGGCAAACATACATACATAAATACATAATTATAAATACGTACATACATAAATACATACATAAATACACACTATTACACAAATACAGAACAGTTTACAAACAATGCCACTGTCGGTCGCCACTGTGCAGCGCCCTGTAATTTGAGCTAGGGTTGTCGTGTCTTGCTCAAGGACACACTCCAGTGACCACCCATCTGATCACCGTGTCACCGACACTTGCTTGACATTGCTTGAGTCAAAACTCACTACTCACTTAGCCACTGGAGCCCCCATGATGTTAGTGATATTATAGGTCGGTATCTCTTCACTTCTCCAGGTGGTTTCCCCTTCTTTAGGAGCGGTATGGTCTGGGCGATCCTCCATGCCTTTGGTATTCCGCTCGTTCTCCACGTGGTATTTACCAAGCGGCGTATGACATCGTTTCCTTTAGCACCAAGGTTGCACAGCATTTCGTTGTGTATTTTGTCCGGTCCTGGGGCTTTCTTTTGCTTTAATTTTTTGAGGGCCTGTCCAAGTTCCATCATGCTGAAGTCCTCCTCAAAAAGGGTGTTGTTCAAGTAGGGGCTTTTTCTTCGTGCTTAGTCTTGTTTATGAGGAGTCTATCGGCCTCAGTTAGTCTACTTGCCCTGTTTACAGAGGCGAAATACCAGTTAAAATGTTCGGCTTTCTTCTGGTCTTCTGCGATGGTGTTTCCTGAAAGGAAAAAGGGTTTGGGGTTGCTTTTTTGTCTTTCTCCCGAGAGGTTGCTGACAAGGGGCCAAGTTTTGTTCCATTGTGGCGGAGGTCAAGATCTTCACAAGTCTGAGTCCATTTTTCATTTTTGGCTTTTCTAACTGTCATTTTCCCCTGAGCGCAGGTCTTCTTATAGTGTGTTCTGGCTATTGGTGATGGTGAGTTTTCCAGTAACTGTCTGGCCTTCTCTTTTTTTGCCACAGCAGCCTGGATTTTTTCATTCCAAAAGGGTTTGTAATTTCTTCAGCATCCCCGTGGAATGTGCTGAGATGCAGCTTTAAGAATATTTAGTGACTTGTTCATCATCTGTTTCTACTATGATAGAGAGCAATTTGTCGGAGGTCTTTTTTGTACTCTGCCCAGTTGGCTTTCTTAAAGTTCCATGAGTTCTCCGGGGGGTGGTTCAAAGCAGGTGGGGAGGTGATCTGTGTAAAGATAGTTCTGTGGTCACTTCCTATGTCATCAATCACTTCGATGCAACAGGAGTTTTTGATGTCAGATGAGCAGATGGTGAGATCAGGTCGGCTGAGAGTCAAGTGGGCTCTGTGAAGTAAGGTAGGCGTGGAGTTAACATTTTGCAACACAGATAGGTTGCTGGTTTCACAAAGTTCTTCGATCTTTCGGCCTGAGCTGTTGTAGCTGGTGTAGCCCCATTCAGGGGAGTGGCCATTGAAGTCACCCGCACAAATGTGTTTTTTCGTAGTTGGTTGCTTGTAGATCAGACAAGTCGCATGTTGTCTGTGGAGGGCTGTAAACATTGTAAATTGTATACTTCCTACCAATGTGCCATATGGTGGCCTTCTGGATATCTGTTGGTTGGGCAGACGACAAGTGTACGACATCTCCCTGAACATCGTTTCGCAGGTAAGTGACTACACCGCGGCATCCTGTGCATGTGCAGGCGTAACTGGTGTATCCTGTGAGGTTCAGGTCCGTACCTTTGTGTAGGGTTTCTTGAAGAAAGGCAACATGAATCTGCCTGTCCTTCAGGACTTTGAGGAGTTCTGTCTTCTTGTTCCTCAAACCACAGATGTTGAGTTGCAAGAGGTTGAGGGAACTCTTCTTCTGGTTGGGGATGTAACTGGCTCCCTTCTCCCGCCGAGAGCTTTTCCGTTCTGGTTTAGCACTGTTTCTGTGTGTATCACCAGTAGCTGACTTGTCGCTCAGAGCAGCCTGATGATTGCGCTGCCTGGCGCTGACCTTGTTTAACGAGGCGACATCCGAGCTCGCTTGTAATTTCTTTCTTTGTGTCATGGCATTGTGGACTGGGGTGTCTGTGGACTGTCTGCCCACCCTGAAAAGGGGCCATGCACGTTGAGGATTGGGGGGTACAAGGGGTTTTCATGAGACTGGAAAGACCTAACTGCCCTGTGACCGTGTAGTTCCGGTAGGGTTCATGTTGCCCACTCCCCGCCACCAATGGCTACTGGCTATAGTTGTCTACTCTTGTATGAGGTTTTGGCCAAGTGAGAAAGCCTTTGGATCGTCACGTCCTGGATCGTTGTGCCTTTACTAAGAGGTCCACAGTCAGAAGGCAAGTTGGGCATTCCGCTCGATTCATCCTTGCATCCAGACCTCCTCAAACTGGCTGGTTCCTTCTCAGCCACAGAGGGTGTGTTGATAAAAAGCAGTAGATGCGTTAGGCAGATGAGACACCCACTCAAGGGAGAGTAGGGGTGTGTTAGTGAGGAGCATAGCGTCTACCACACATCGGTGGGTTCTGCCTCCTGCACCTTGTGGGGCCACACCTGCTCCTATCCTGTTGTTTTAACCCCTCTAGGAAACGGGGGGTTGATTTGTTGGTACCAACAATTCGCCAGAGCCATGTCAGAGAGGACAGGGACCTCCACGGGCAGGTACGGTTAGCTGGATTGGGAGAAGCTGTTTGAGACGCTTAAGCATTTCTCAATATTTAAATGAGACCCATCATCAGTCCTTGACCCCGAGATACAACCATAACAATGCCAACAGTCAATTGACTATTCAGGGATATTAAGTATTATTTTCATTTCAATATATAGTGCAGCCTCTCTGTAACGACCTTCTATATAACGACATCCTCTGTTTAGCGACAAGGTATCCAGGTCCTGATTTTTTCCTTATATATCATTAGTCATAGTCATATTTTTCATTGCCTACCCATACCGACAACCCTCTATAATGACATTTTTTTCTGGTCCCGACGATGTCGTTATAGAGAGGCTGCCCTGTAATTGTTTTGTAATTACATTGCTCAAGTTCATAAAATACATTTTGGATGCATGCTTTCATGTTTTTAATGTTTTAGTTTTAACAAAATTGTCACTGTTGGGCTTGTGATGGTCCCGCCAGCAACACAGATTTGCATGAATAAAAAATGTTCCAGTCAAAACTTTAGAATCTTCTGCTTTTTGTTCTGTGACTTGCATGTCTGTCATGTTATAATTTTTTAGAAAATATTCGTAAGTATATATATAAATATATAAATATAATGTACTAAGAAAATGACAGCTGCTATGAGTTGTTTTATGTCATGCGGTGATACAACCGTAACAAGATGACATGGCTCAGAAAACATCCTTTGTAAGTAAAACCCTCAACATGAGTTATCTTGCCAACATGATTTCCTGCAAAGGAAGAACCTTGGGTTATGCCTTGAGAGTACAGTCAAACCTGTCCTCAGCAATAGGTGGCCATCTTGGACAACTTCAGTTATATATATATATATATATATATATATATATATATATATAGTAGCCACAAACTGAAAATCGTGAGGGTACCAATTTTGAGCGCTTGCTCACTCATAACTGTATTTCTGTTCAACTGTTGGTTGATTATTGTTGTTAGATTTCCCATTCAAAAACACTTAACAAAAAAACACCAGTCAAACGAATATAAAGTTATGAGTCCACAAACTTTTAAAAGTGGCACCCTCACAATTTCCAGTTTGTGACTACCGTCATCTTTCCCCTGTAGTCTTCATATATATGTGAGGCAGCGTGGTGGAATCAGGCTCTCGTCAATTTTTTGGCATGTAGAGTTATTGGTATCATCTTAAAGCTTGTTCACTTGTCTTTATTTGGATGAAAAAAATATCCATTTATCTTGAATACAAGTCAAAATATTTGCAAAAGAAGGGGGTGGAGGTTACCTGTTTTCAGAGGTAAAACTAGTGAGAAAATGGCCGCCAAAGATGAGTTATTTCCTTAGCTTAAGAGTCCGTGGTAACAGAAAATTTACATTTTTTGTGCCTTTAATTAACGTTTTTCAGAAAAATCCACACAGAAATTAGTTCTTTATTGGACATGAAAGGTGTTGAGCCAAAAAACAAAAATTTTATTAAAATTCACAAACCTGTGGAAAAACGCAAGTTTCGTCACTTTGATTATTTTGACGAGAGCCTGATTCCACCACACTGCCTCACATATATGCTGAATTATGAGTGTTTAAAATTTGGTGTATTGCTACTGTAGAAGTTGTGAACTTTTGGCAATGGTTCATATATTCTGAAATATGGAGGTTTTAAATGTGGTGTATTGCTACTGTGGAAGTGGTGACCTTTTGGCAATGGCTCATATAATATTCTGAAATATGGGTGTTTTAAATTTGGTGCATGTACAGGCAGAGCTGTTAAAGTACTTTTTAAAAAGTACTTAAGTACAAATTTAAGTACAATCTAAAAAATGTACTTAAGTACAGTAAAAGTACTTTCCTGTGTAAAATGTACTTGAGTACAAGTACTTTTTTAAAAAGTACTCATGAGACTACAGGCTTGTTGAGACTAAACTGTTTACAGCTCAATTGACACAACACAATAAGTGAAGGGTGCTTGGAAGGATGGCTCAGGACAGAGATAAATGGAAGGAGCTTGTATGTGGCCTATACCCTGCCAGGGGCGAAAGGCATTAATGATACTTTAAATAATATAATGTTTTCTTTTCTTTACTAAGGACTCTATATTGAGTTACTGTCAGAATAATGAGTATGTATCTAGCTTAAGATTAAATTATTCTTTATGTTACTGTTCATTTTTGTTATGCATGTGAACTATAAGCCTATGTGTGTGTGTACGTGGTGAACACCAAACCAATGTGCCAGGATCTGGACAATAAAGATGTATCTTATCTTGTCTTATCTTATCTTTTCTTATCTCATGTAGTGTGAAATATCCTGTGATTGGTTTGTGTGGATTTCTCTGTTCAGATTCAGGGCAACAAAAAGAGGGCCGGGTCTCGAACCTACACCTCGTTCAGACAACGTCTTGTGGGGCTGGAGGACCATGAGCTTCGTCCGTTTGTCAGTCCGTACACCACCAGGTCAGTCGTTTAGTCCGTACACCACCAGGTCAGTCGTGTGGGAGATCGAGATTGGGATTGGTATCATATTCCTCAGTGACATCACCTCTAGTGATTGTGAAATATAACTCGAAAACTTCAATCTCTGGTCCAAGATACAATCCTTCCTTCTATTCTGATATAATTCACTTTGCTTTTAAAATGACTTTTCATACATTCACATGATTAATAAATAAAGTCTGTACTGAAGAGTCCTGAGTTCTAGTGTCACTGCGGTAGGACAGCTGGGTTATATGTTTCATAATATGTGAGGCAGCGTGGTGGAATCAGGCTCTCGTCAAAATTATCAAAGTGAAGAAACTTGCATTTTCCCGCAGGTTTGTGAATTTTTTATCAAATTTTAGTTTTTCGGCTCAACACCTTTCACACCCATTAAAAAACTCATTTCTGGGTGAATTTTTCTGAAAAACGTTGATTTAAGGCACAAAAAATGTTAATTTTCTGTTATCACGGACTCTTTAAGCTACGGAAATAACTACTCTTTGGCGGCCATTTTCTCACTATTTTTACCCCTGAAAACATGTTACCCCCACCTCCTTCTTTCTCAATATCTCGACTTGTATTCAAGATAAATGGATATTTTTTCCATCCAAATAAAGACAAGTGAACAAGCTTTAAGATAATTCCAATAACTCTGCATGCCCAAAAATTGACGAGAGCCTGATTCCACGACGCTGCCTCACATGGACAATGTTGAGAGCTGGGAGAATGCTTTCTTTCGTCAGGTTTCGATGTATGTTTACTGTATGTCCCAGTGAACTGTTTTGATCATAAGTTGTTTCAGGTTTTACTGTATGTTTATAGTGTGTCTCAGTGAACAGGTTTACTGTATGTTTACTGTATGTCCCAGTGAACTGTTTTGTTCATAAGTTGTTTCAGTTTTACTGTATGTTTATAGTGTGTCGCAGTGAACAGGTTTACTGTATGTTTACTGTATGTCCCAGTGAACTGTTTTGATCATAAGTTGTTTCAGGTTTTACTGTATGTTTATAGTGTGTCTCAGTGAACAGGTTTACTGTATGTTTACTGTATGTCCCAGTGAACTGTTTTGATCATAAGTTGTTTCAGGTTTTACTGTATGTTTATAGTGTGTCTCAGTGAACAGGTTTACTGTATGTTTACTGTATGTCCCAGTGAACTGTTTTGATCATAAGTTGTTTCAGGTTGTACTGTATGTTTATAGTGTGTCTCAGTGAACATGTTTACTGTATGTTTACTGTATGTCCCAGTGAACTGTATTGATCATAAGTTGTTTCTGGTTTTACTGTATGTTTATATGTGCCCCAGTGAACTGTATTGATCATGACTTGTAGTGTTTGAGAGTAAAGACATATGAACTGAGAGTCTAGAATATTTTACACTTCAATATAATATATATATATATTTAGATAGCCAGCGTTTCTTTTGTAATTTCCACATACGTGTCAAAGTTGCTGTAATGAGTAGAGTGATTTCCACATACGTGTCAAAGTTGCTGTAATGAGTAGAGTGATTTCCACATACGTGTCAAAGTTGCTGTAATGAGTAGAGTGATTTCCACAAACGTGTCAAAGTTGCTGTAATGAGTAGAGTGATTTCCACATACGTGTCAAAGTTGCTGTAATGAGTAGAGTGATTTCCACATACATGTCAAAGTTGCTGTAATGAGTAGAGTGATTTCCACATACATGTCAAAGTTGCTGTAATGAGTAGAGTGATTTCCACATACATGTCAAAGTTGCTGTAATGAGTAGAGTGATTTCCACATACGTGTCAAAGTTGCTGTAATGAGTAGAGTGATTTCCACATACGTGTCAAAGTTGCTGTAATGAGTAGAGTGATTTCCACATACATGTCAAAGTTGCTGTAATGAGTAGAGTGATTTCCACATACATGTCAAAGTTGCTGTAATGAGTAGAGTGATTTCCACATACATGTCAAAGTTGCTGTAATGAGTAGAGTGATTTCCACATACATGTCAAAGTTGCTGTAATGAGTAGAGTAATTTCCACATACGTGTCAAAGTTGCTGTAATGAGTAGAGTGATTTCCACATACATGTCAAAGTTGCTGTAATGAGTAGAGTGATTTCCACATACATGTCAAAGTTGCTGTAATGAGTAGAGTGATTTCCACATACATGTCCAAGTTGCTGTAATGAGTAGAGTAATTTCCACATACGTGTCAAAGTTGCTGTAATGAGTAGAGTGATTTCCACATACATGTCAAAGTTGCTGTAATGAGTAGAGTGATTTCCACATACGTGTCAAAGTTGCTGTAATGAGTAGAGTGATTTCCACAAACATGTCAAAGTTGCTGTAATGAGTAGAGTGATTTCCACAAACATGTCAAAGTTGCTGTAATGAGTAGAGTGATCTCCACATGTCAAAGTTGCTGTAATGAGTAGAGTGATCTCCACATGTCAAAGTTGCTGTAATGAGTAGAGTGATCTCCACATGTCAAAGTTGCTGTAATGAGTAGAGTGATCTCCACATGTCAAAGTTACTGTGATGAGTATTTCTACTTGTTTGCTGGGATGCTGTGCCCCATTCTAAATGTTTTCTGTACTGAGCAGGGTTGTTTTATTTTAGCGATTTTCTCTTTTTTGGGGGGACCCGATAGCTTTTTCTTATGATTTTTGGTTTGGGGGTTGGGGGGGGGGGGGAAAGGGACATGGGCAAAAGAAGATTGTAGAGCATAAAACTGAATCATAGTATCATGGACCGCGTAGTGCCATAGTCACACGTGAGTGTTGTGATATTTGGTCGCTTCTTTTAAGGACAAGCAGGCTAACCCTGATTTTGGGGGTTTCCTGAAATCTTGACCTACACCAAAAGTTGGCATTGCCCTACCTAAAGGAGAAGTTTGGTTTCATTGGTGTGTCTATTTGTTTGGTTATAGAGAACCCTCTCCTTGTCTTTTAAAGAAACTGAACAAGGGGCAAAAACTTTGCCTTCGATTATCTCAAAACAGCTTTTTTCGGGATAGCCCCCCTTGTGCTTAAAGCGATCATTTGTGTTCATCAATTGTTTTTACTTTTCCTGCGTGTGTTCAGAGTCCTGCTGCCGTTCATCTGGCGTAACTACAACCCGTCCCACAAGCCCGTCAGGATGCGACTGTTGGAAGAAATCGCCGCCTACCACAACAGGTACCGTAATGGTCACCTCCTGGTCACTACTGCTGGGTTCCTACGGGTCTTGAAAAACTGGAAAACTCTTTGAATGTTGTTTTTTGTTTTCCAACATGGAAAACTCTTGGAATTTTGGGAAGTTGGGAAAAAGTCTTGGAAAAACAAATTTTTATCTAGATCTATTGTAAAAATTCTTCTTCGCAGTTTAGAAGGCTTCGACTTTACGCAGTCTGAAGTGTAGGCCCTACCATATGAATTTTTGCATGCTGAACAAAAAATTTTCTTCTGAATTGACATTTTATTTGTCTTGGAATAAAGAAGTTTCAGAAGCAAAATTAGCGAGAAATTGGCCGCCAAAGTTTGGTGACTTCCATAGCTTAAGGGTCGTTGGAAACTGCATATTCACATTTTTTGTGCCTTTAATCAACGAACGTTTTTCTACAGAATTCACACAGTGTTTATGAATGGACACAAAAGGAGTTGAGCCAAAAAACAAAAATTTGAAGGAAAAAAAATTCCAAACTGCCCCAAAAAATGCAGATTTCTCGGATTTTGTTATTTTGACAAGTGCCTGATTTCACGAAAAGCATCTGATTTCACCCCGCTGCCTCACATTTGACCTCTGACCTGTGTCTCGGCAGACACGACCCTAACTGGACCCCCCCTCCGAGTGCCCCAATTGACTTCTGCTACGTCCGGCCGGAGCACATTCCCTCGGTCAACGCTCTTTGCAGGGAGTTCTTCTGGCCCGGTGTTGACAGTAAGTTGTCTATGTTTATGTGTATATGTGTATGTACGTTTGTGTCATGGGTGGTTGGCGGGTGCTCTGTGTGGCCCGGCGTGGACAGTACGTTGTCTATGTTTATGTGTATATGTACATATATATACATATTATGTGAGCCGGTCTGAGGAAATCAGGAACATGTCGCTTATCCTTGAACAGAAATATCGGCAAAATAGTCGGTGTGGTCTGTTCTTGTCGATTTTGAGCACACATGCCAGGGGATTCTGGACTATTTTAGAAAATAATTCAACAGCTGTATCTGTGATGTCAAGGGACATGACTCTTATCTTTACTGTGGGAACTAGATAATTAGGGGAGTAGCACGCCCTTGGATGACGTCAAGAGCTGGGCGCAAAAAATAGAGAGATCGTCTGAGAGACTCACGGAGGTAGTCAGTCGAACTCAGGACCACGACGAGACAACACCTATCTTGGATGGGGGCCCCCTGACAGACCCGACGCATCGGACCGCCAGGTAACTTTACATGGTGTCAGAAGTAAAAACCACTTTATAATAGTTATATTTTCTCATTTTATTTTGAATTTGCATTCAGATATTAAAATGCAATAATGGTATGACTTTGAACATGTTTTTCTCAGTTTTTACTGTTCCACATTTCCTTACTTCAAAATGCAATATCTCATCTTCTAGAAAAGATAATTGAAAAATTCAAAGTACGTAATAATCAGAAAGATCCCAGCTTTCAGAAAAGCACAAAAACTCCAAACGGCCAACAGGCGATGTATTCCTGATTTCCTTAGACCGACTCGCATATAAAAATGTACTTTTATAATAATGAATTCTAGTGACTCAGCATTGGCTGTGAATGAAGTATTTCATTAGAAAATTTCTAAATTTTGGGTTAAGTTCAGCTGGTCAAAGTTATGTTGCCTATACAATTGTACTCTCTCTCTCTTGCCCTTTTTAACTCCCAGTGGAGCACAGGCCATCAACAACATTACTCCAGCGAAGCCTGTCCTGAGCATCCTTTTCTATCTGTTTCCATGATGTCCCTGCTTTTTCAATTTCCGCTTGTACCGCTCGCTTCCATGTCATCTTTGGTCTTCCATTCTTACGCTTTCTTTGTGGGTTCCACGTTAAAGCCTGCCTAATGATGCTTGTCGGGGGTCTCTTCAGGGTGTGTCCAATCCATTTCCATTTCTTCACCTGTATGTCTTCCTTCTATCAGCCTTTGGCTTGTTCTCTCCCACAGTTGAGCATTCGTGACTCGATCATACCACTTGATCCCCACTATCCTTGTTGTGTTATGTTGCCTATGCAACTGTACACTGGTAGCATAGTTCGTTCTGTATTCATTTCTCTCTCTCTCACTGTCTTGTGGTGAGTTTAGTGATGAGTAGTCTCTATGCTGTAGCACTCTGCTGGGAACCACTTGCAAGTCACAGTTCTACACTTCCCTTCTGTTCTTTCTGTCTGTCAAACTTGGGGTTCATCCCCCTGGGGCAGTGCCACTGACTGTAGTGTCTTTAGGCCTTTCCCAAAGGGTAGAGCTGGGCAATGAGTCGCTTCAGCAAAATCCGGATAATATTTTAGTGCACCTCTTCGGCTAATAATATGATATGAACCGCTTCAGCAAATGGGTTAGAACCACTTTGACAAACGGGTTATCATCACTGCAACAAATAGGTGCACCCACTTCGGCAAACGGGTCAGGAAAGAGAGGTAAGAGTCTAAAATCGGATAATGTTTCATTGAGAATTATCCGGTTATTCTTTTGGATTATCCGGATTTTGCCCACCTCTACCAAAGGGGTGATATTTCTTGTTCAAGCACAGTAGAATTGTAAATGGGCTGACTCATGTCACGCTCATAACTGTGCCTGATCTACAACAGGGAACTGCTGCTTTTTCTTTCCTGATCCTTACTATTGTCATTTTCCTCTACATCTTTTGTATGTTTGTCACTCTCTTGTGACCTACTGCTATTTTGGGGTGCCTTGATAGTGGAAGCAGACCTTGTGCTGTTGAAGCTAGAGAGGTGAGCAGTCTAAGTCTGATTCCCTGTAAAGACTTCTTTGTTGACACCCACCCCTTGGCGCCCATATGACCTTATGCAGTTGTGAGCGCCGTAAAACCCTCTACTATTAAAAAAAACAAAAAAATCTTGAGGTTTGTTTTCAAAGTGGCAAATGACCATAACTCAATTACTGTGCTTCTATTTACTCAAACTAGCTGAGTTGAAGGTCATATTATACAGGCGTACATGTGCCCTTTTCTCTGTTTTTTTTACAGTGTCGGAGTGTTTACAGTACCCAGACTTCAGCTGTGTGGTCATGTACAAGTCAGTATCTCCATGTGTACAGAGATTTTGTTGTATATATATGTGTGTGTGTTAGGTCAAAGTTTGTGTGTGGGTGGTTGGCGAGTGCTCTGGTGTGGTTTGCTTCTTCTTTCCTATCAAACATCTATCGTCCTTATCTCCCCTTCTTCTTTTTTATGTTTGTTACTCTCTTGTAACACCACTAATCTTCTGGCGCTCATATGACTCATGCAGTTGCGAGCGCCGTAAAAACCTCTACTGAAACTAAATTAAAAGTTTGTGTGGTTATGTACTCTCCACGCATACACAGGATTTCTGTTATAGTCAGATCAACAATGTTTAAAGATGTATGGACATGGGTTTTTTTTGTGTAGATAGGCCTGTATTTTCATGTACAGAATTTTTGTGTTGTAAGTACATGTTTGTATGTTCTTTGTGTGAACACGTGTGTTGTTGTACGTGGCCCACTGGTCAATGTGCTCGTAGATTTTGTTACATATGTTAAGGGTGTTAACAAAATGAGTTACTTCTCGGATTTGAGCCCAGTGGAAATAGATGCATCAGGCCTATAGGCGAAGTTTTTACAGTTTATAAAAGTATGAAATAATAAAAGGCGTGTCGCACGCTCATATGACCTAACGCAGTTGCGAGCGCCGTAAAATCCTATACTACTAACTAAAAAAGGCATGTCATACGTAAAATATGGCACAAATTTGAGCCAAGTGTCGATTTTTGGCCCACATCTCCATTTGTGGATTGCGAGAAGTAACTCATTTTGTCAGGATGCCTCACATATATGCATGTATCCCCAACACAGGTGTTTTTCCTAGAGGTGAATTTTGTCTTTTGTCTGTGTTTATTTGAAACCAAGTCATATGTGGTTTCTTTTGGATGAAAGCATTGCACTGTCATATGATTTTCAACAGTGCTTCGAGCTCAAGCCTTGAGTTTTGCGGTGTAGGGAAAAGGGATTTTACACATGAAACATTTTATTTTTCTGTCAGAATGAATACTTTAGTGTAGCGGTAGTTAGATATTGTCGCTATTGCAAAACAAGTGAGTATTGCACAATGTATTTGCTTTACTTGTATAACAGAGTAAAAGTAAAAGAGTCACTTTTTTTTTTTGTAACGGAAGACCAGCAAAATTGAGCTGAATTATCTGGAACTAAATTTAAAAAGAAATACTTCCAAGTAAGAAATATGTTTGGGTTTTTGTTTTGTTTTTGTTTTTTTTTTAGCTTTCCCCTGTTGCGTGTGGAGAAACACACTTGAAATGTTTTGTTTTGTGTCCGTCAGGAAAATTGTGATTGCGTTTGCGTTCCTGGTGCCGGACCGTGGCTACAACGAGGCCTACATCTCCTTCGTGTTCACGCACCCGGAGTGGCGCGGGGCGGGCATCGCCACCTTCATGATCTACCATCTCATACAGGTCAGGGCTCCTGTCTTGTTGAACCATCGTACAGTGGTGACCTTCATGTCTTGTTGAACCATGATACAGTGGTGACCTTCATGTCTTGTTGAACCGTTATACAGTGGTGACCTTCATGTCTTGTTGAACCATGATACAGTGGTGACCTTCATGTCTTGTTGAACCATGAAACAGTGGCGACCTTCATGTCTTGTTGAACCGTTATACAATGGCGACCAGCAATGGCATGTTTGTGAAATTGTTCTGTATTGGTGGGATATTGTGTATTTATGTATGCATTTATTTGAGTATTAAATATATATGTATGTATTTCTAATTATGTATTTACGTATGTATGTTTGTCATTATAACCCAAGTTTCCCAGCAGGGATCAATTTTTTTTTCAAAGTGTTTTATTTTATTTTTAAAAAAGTAAAACTCCACTTTTCTTGGTCCCCATAGGGAATTGAGTTGACACTGGCAGACATTTGAAGCATAATTATTGTCATGGATGATTATCTGTCTATTATCTATTTATGCTTATCATTTTGTCTTATAGGATGATAAGCACCCTTTTGGGACGGGCTGGAAATTGTTCTTTTCCCGGGGGCTCTCGTGGCCTAGAGGTTAAGGTGTTGGCCTCTCATTCAAAGGTCCTGGGTTCGAATCCGGGTAGCGACCGAAAAATTTTCTTCTCTAAATTTGTCTCCTTTCACCTCATTTCCTGCTCTCTAGCAATGTTCTGTCGTCTGCTTTCGCCTCCTCTTTCTGCCCCCACCCCCTTTGCCCATTACTCTGGGCTCCTGATTCTTTCTGCAGCCTTTCTACTGCTACTCCTTCGCTTCTTCTTACTGCTGTCTTTCAGCCACACCCCTGATCTTCGGGTAGGAAAGATCTACACGTAGCCTTCTCGGACAAGGTCGAAAAATGTTGGAGGGCCCGTGTGCAAGTTGCGCACATTAAAGATCCTTTTGTGGTCTAAAATCGATAAGAGTAGGCTTCGGCCGCCAAGATTCAAAATTTCCTACCAACTGAAAATATTAGGTGTGTCCCGCGCGCTCATATGACCTTATGCAGTTGCGAGCGCCGTAAAACACTTTACAAAAAACCCAAAAAAAACATGTTCTTTTCCCCGCGTAAAACAGCAGTTGTTGTTTTGCTGTGCTTGTCTTCACTTACACCTTATCAAAAGTGTGGCCTTTATTGTCCTAGCTTGTCAAATATTGCCACTGTACAACTTTTTGTAATAGCTTTATTGTATTACTGATGGGGACCCATAGCATGATGGTGGGTGATTGGCGGGTGCTCTGGTGTGGCTTGCTTCTTCTTTCCTGTCAAACATCTATCGTCCTTATCTCCCCTTCTTCTTTTTTATGTTTGTTCCTCTCTTGTAACACCTCTAATCTTCTGGTGCTCATATGACCTTATGCAGTTGCCAGTGCCGTAAAACCTCTACTAAAACTAAAACTAATAACATGATGGCAATTTTTTTTAAAATCAGGTATCTCTGTCTGTCTGCTTGGATGTTATATCCCGCTTTACCTTTGAGTCTTGGTTGGCCCTGATAGACACTGTCAAAGCAGCCTGCTTTTTAAATCATAAATGATTTGAATTGTGTAGAGTGTAAGACGTTGACGTGGGTGGTTGGCAGGTGCTCTGGTGTGGTTTGCTCCTTCTTTCCTTTCCAACATCTATCGTCTTTATCTCCCCTCCTTCTTTTTTTTTGTGTTTGTTCCTCTCTTGTAACACCTCTAATCTTCGGCACTTATATGACCTTATTGTGTTGCAAGTGCTGTAAAACTCTTACTAAAACTAAAAACTAAGAGGTTGACATTCAAATACACAGTCAATAATTAATATACATGTTAGGGTTTTGGGGTGATTTAAATTTTTAAAAATAAGAAATAAATAAAAGCGTTACTTTGTGTATTTCTAAAACGTGCATGGGCAATTACAGTCAATCACTTGTGATATGTTGGGGGGGGGGGGGGGATTTTAATTTTTAAAAACAAGACAATGTAAGCATTACTTTTCTGTATGTCCTCAGACGTGCATGGGCAAAGACGTGGTCCTCCACGTGTCAGCCACAAACCCTGCCATGTTCCTCTACCAGAAGTTTGGCTTCAAGGCCGAGGAGTTGATCCTGAACTTTTACTACAAGTACTTCCCGCTCAACTGCAAGGACTCCACCAACGCCTTTCTCATGAGGCTCAGCAGATGACGACCGCCACTTCTGGGGTCACATACACACACACACACACACGCACGCTCACACACATACATATACATATATGTATACACGCATACCCTCTCTCACACACATTTCCACACACACATGCATGCACACACATACATACACATAATAATATATGTATACACGCATACTCTCTCTCACACACATATCCACACATGCATGCGCACACACACACACACACACAC